CCCGCGGGCGCCCCCGCCGCCGCCGTTTCCCGTACCGGACATTTTTTCCTTCGTTGTGTCAACGCGTTCTTCCGTACCGCTGTCACTGGAAAATTCCTTCCTTGGAGGAATAACTACCTACTAGCTGTCGCCGCACGCCAAGTATCGTCGTCTCACAAGTACTTTGGTCGGTAACCTTCACACTCGCACGTACACATACACAGTTACATGCGCACGCACAAACAACATGCACCGCGCGCGCGCGTGCTGGAGAACGTCACTGCGAAGCTGCGAAGTACGCGGCAGTGCGCAGGCGTGAAAAGCATGGCGGCCCGTCGAGTGGCGCTCTTGTAGCACCTTAAGGGCCTGCGCACAATAGAGGAACAGGAATTAGATATTAAGATCTCAACCTATCAGAAACTGATTACATCGGAATACACGATTTGTGATAGGTTGAAATCTTAATATCTAATTCTTGTTCCTCTATTGTGCGCAGACCCTAATACTCTATGAATGATTTTCACAGCTTTTAGAATAAAAATTTTATTCGGGGGATTTATACACGATGTATTCAGTGCGAGAAGTCACAATAAATAAGAAAGGTATGTATTATGTAAATAAATATATGTGTTGCTATGAGACAGTATCCAGAGAAGTATTGATTTTGACAAAGAATTTGCAAATAAAACAAGTGAATCGAGAAAGTAAATTCATATGGATGTAAATAGGTCTGTTTTTTATTGCTGCACTTTCTGAACTAGTACACATAGTGCAATAAGTTGAAGTGAAACAAATATAAGTTTGTTTCACTTTAACTTATTGCACTGGTTCAGAGTGCGGCAATAAAAAACAGACCTATTGATAAGTGAAAACATGTGATGGTAAAGTAGGAAACTCCAACGTAGGTAAACTTCGTGTTGAGACCGCCACAGTATGGCTAAAGTCTCTATCTCTACGTATGGCTAAGTTACTAGTAGCGTTTTCGGCCATATGCTGGATTTATACTGCATCCGATGATATGAAGCAAAATCCATCGAAATCCTGTTTTCTGATTGGTTGCAGAGCGTCGTACGACGCAAATCGGATGCAGTGTGAATCCAGCATAAGGCCATAACTCTCGAACGTCTATCTTTATTGCTCTCGGCCACTTCCCAGCATGCCGCAGCGACCAATCAATTCACTACTAGAAAAGAAGAGAACTACTCCGCGACTGTTTCTTTCTCTTTCTATCACGTCTTCAGCTTCTGTCGTACGAATGCTCCGTCTATCTTATAAGTCTATGGTTTTCGGCCCGGACAGGATCCCTATTCTTGAAAAGTATCGCATACGAAAAACTAGAGAAATGCTATAGTATATGTAACGCATACTATAGTATTTCCCTAGTTTTTTGTATGCGATACTTTTCAAGAATAGGGGCCCAGGTTTGCACCAACCTTGAATTAATGGCTCTCCTATTGGTAGAGCGGGGTCAACCAATAGGAAAGATTAATCCAACCAGGGTTGATGCAAACCCGATCGGGCCAAAAACCCTATAAGGCCGGTATTCATAGTCGATTCTTATTTCAAGACCGTCTTAAGTAATATCTTAAGATGTTAATGCAGTCCTCTGATTGGTTCGTAACTTCCTAAGACGGTCTTGAATATAAAGGCCCGTCTACAATACACGGAGTAAGAAGTAAGAATAAGAAATTGATCAATCACAGTCGAATGTGAGAAGAATAATCGACTGTGATTGGTCAATTTCTT